CAAAAATAGATTTTAAACACTTGTGAAACAGGGGTAAGCATCCAAAGTCAAGACCTTCTGGGCCCAGTGGAGGTGCTGGGCTGCCCTGGGACACCATCAGCACTTCACCATCCACAACATCCTCAGGAGCTGAGCAGCCGGGCACAGACCCTGGGGGCTTCCTGTTCCACAAGCTCCACTCCCTTTTTCCTCTCCATCTTTGCTGTTGAGTCCCCCTCCAAATCTGCCCAACAAAGGCAGCAAGATCTTTAATACCTGTGCAGCTTTGTAAATGGAGACAGGATACTCTATTCAGAAAGTTGAGAGATTCCCTGTTCCAGTCTGGGGGAGGAAAAATATCCAATGCAGCATGAATGGTTTCACTTTCTTGTCCACTCAGACACATGCTTATACTTGTTAAATGGATTTATCAGATGCTTCAAAAGTCCTGACGTGTAGTAGCACAAAAGTTCCTTGTAAAAAAGAAGTTGCAAAATTACAAAAATTTCTGCAGCAGTTCTGGCTCCGGATGACAAAGCTTGTTCTGATTAGTTTTTTTTTTAACATGCACAGCAGCTTCCCCTATAAGTCCTATGTTCAGAGGGTTCCATTTAGACCACAGGAAGTTGGAATCCAAGTTTAAAAGGCTCTCTGCTGACAAAATATGGTATATCCATCAATGGAATTCTACTCAGCAATAAAAAGAACAAACTACCAAGACGTTTTATGTCATGGATGAACCTCAAAAGCATTAGCTATGTAAAAAAGCCAGACACAAGAGACCACATATTGTATAATTCCATTGATTCGAACTGTCCAGGAAAGGCAAATTTATAGAGAAAGTAGATTGGTGGTTACTGAGAATAAGAACACGATTAACTGTAAAAGAACATGAAGGATCTTATTGGGAGGGATAAAAATGTTCTAAAACTGAGTAATGGTTATGGCTACACCACTGAGGAAAGTTACTAAAAGCACTGAGTTATACACTTGAAATGGGTGAGTTTTATGATATGTAACAGAGGCCTCATTAAATTTTTTTAATTTTAAGAAAAGGACTCTCTGCCTCTCAAACCATCTTTCAAGCATTAAACATTTTTGAGGGCTCACAATCAATAGGATAGAATAACTTCAGTGATGATTTGCAGAGTGAAATATTTTACTATTTTATAGTAAGCACATTTTAGTAACTGTAACCTAGTAAAATATTTGTAAGATTTTATCTCATTTTTGTCATATTAACCTAAAATGTTTATTATTTTTATATAAAAGGTAGCCATTAGGAAGGGAGGATTGGGGAGAAAGCTCAGCAAATGTCACAAATGAGACTCTTAGTAACAAAATCTGAGGAAGATTTTTCTTTTAAAATAAAGATGGTGCATTTGTCCCTTTATAGGTTTCTCTCCTATTCCCTAGGACTGGGGAAGGTGAATCTCTTGCCTGACTCCCTGTAGAGATTAGTGTATCCAGCTGTTCTATTCCCATGATGCTTCTAAAAACCAGACTGACTGGGAGCAGCAGGAGGGGTTTGGCCCATGAGGGCAGGTGGCCAAGTGGTGTGCAGGAAACTCACGTGTTTCCCTGGGTTGACTACCTGTTCCCCTGTCCCTGTCACCAATAGCAGCTTCATTATGGGAGAAGATTAAAACAAAGGAAAAAAGACAAAAAACCTGTTTCCAAATTATAACTAACCAAGTCTGTGGAGGAAATTCACAAGGCAGCAGAGCAGGGGCTGCAGAAGGTGCTCTGCCTTCCGGCAGAACTAATAATCCTTGTGAACAATGCGGGGTGCAGTGAGTGATGTGGGGAAATGTGGACGGAGGCCCCGACTACAAACCAAATCAGAATCAATCCTCCTGTTCTCCCCACCTGCTTCCCAAACTAATGACGTCTGCGTTATCCCAGAGGAGAGTGGCTAGGGACACCCAGTCCTTCCCAATATGCGGACATCTCCAAATCTTGATCAAATCTGTCAGGTTTCTACCAGTTCCAACAGGGCAGTATCACCTAAACTGAGAAGGACTATTAGCCTGAAACGGTGGGACCCTCATTGAAGAAGGCCTGCCCCCTCCTCACAGTGCAGTTAAGACTCCTGGGTTCCTGATGGCTCAGGAGCCTGGGCTATCATTTGTCTACCTGGGGTTTGCAGCAGCACTAATGTAGGAAGATTCATGCTGTTTACTTTTGCAACCTCTTCACACAACTTTCCTCTCTAACATGTGTTCGTTGCTAGGACATTCACCTCACCTCCTTACTTCCCACCTTCTCCAAAATCAAGGCAATAGCAATAAACAATTTGGAAAATGCTGCTTGGTATTTTAAGCCACAGTAAGCATTATAACCTTAATTAAACAGACCCTAGGCTGGGTGTGGTGGCTCATGACTATAATCTCAGCACTTTGGGAGGCTGAATTCAAGAATTCAAGAACAGTTTGGGAAATGAGCAAGATCCAGTCTCTACAAAAAATAAAAAGAATAAAAATGATTAGCCGGCAGTGGTGGTGAATAACTGTTGTCCCAGCTACTCTGGAGGCTGAGATGGGAGGACTGCTTGAGCCCAGGAGTTTGAGGCTGCAGTGAGCTATGGTCATACCATTGCACTCCAGCCTGGGTGACAGATTAAGACTATGTCTAAAAACAAACAAACAACAAAAACAACAAAAATAAAATAAAATAAAGAGAGATGCCAGCTTCTATGACTTTGGATAAAGGTGCTACAGGATCGTTCTAGTTTTGGATAAAGGTGCCTTAGGATCCTTCTGGTTTCACTCTTATGTTATTTCCAAAAGTCAACTATTATAGTCAGAAACCGGCCCAAAGACCCAGGGCTGCATTCGCCCAGGCCTCAACTGTATTCTTGAATTTTCTGCTGCAGTTCAAAGGCCTGGAGAAATTGAAAAGGCATTCATTTGGTTATTTTTCCCTTGAAAAGAAAGAGGTAAATTATTTTCATCTTGGAATTTTAGAGTCAAATAAATAATCCCAATAATTACATGTCATTCATTAATAAACTAACACTGGGATCAGCCAGATTGGCAACTGTTAAAAATACATGTTCTATTTCTATGCAAATTATCAAACTTCTAGTTGCCAATTAAAAAAAAAAGTTTAGGCTGGGCGCGGTGGCTCACGCCTGTAATCCCAGCACTTTGGGAGGCCGAGGCGGGTGGATCAAGAGGTCAAAAGATCGAGACCATCCTGGTTAACATGGTGAAACCTCGTCTCTACTAAAAATACAAAAAATTAGCTGGGCATGGTGGCACGTGCCTGTAGTCCCAGCTACTCAGGAGGCTGAGGCAGGAGAATTGCCTGAGCCCAGGAGGCGGAGGTTGTGATGAGCTGAGATCACGCCATTGCACTCCAGCCTGGGTAACAAGAGTGAAACGCCTTCTCAAAAAAAAAGTTTAAAGAATAGTGGCTTAAATCCAACATCAAAATTATCCCTTAGAAATACAAGTCTCACCATTAAAAAGTTAAGGTGTCCAGGCTGGCTTGCTGGTTCTTCTCTTGTGAGAGAAGTCTGAGACATCCAGAGGCTCCCAGCCTTTCCCCAGTGAAGGTCCAACAAGACATGCATGCATTTTCTGTTAAGAAGGTAGCAAATTCTAACTAGTGGAGCCTGTGTTGTGAGTGACAATTGTGCCCCCACCTCCCAACATAAAGTAGATGGCAAAAAGAGCTGGACTACATGAGGAACTGCTGGAAGCAGGGTCCTATGCATTTAAAAAAGAATCACTTTGCTAGTTGCCTCCTGTACCTGGAGTCAGCACATGCAGTGTCTCAAGAGGACTACAAATGCCAGAGCCCTCACTTTCCATGCTAAACTGGCAGGAAGTTTTCATAGTCCTGACCAAATACGCCTTGTGAAATCATGCTGAAGACTGACATCCAAAACAGACCAACACAGCAGAAGAAAAGTCAAGCCCCTTTCTCTCTGCAATCCCAAAACATTTCTAACAGCCTTCAGAATTCTGAGCTTGGACAGGCTCATGGAAGATGAAGGAGGAAAAGCAGTCCCAGAAGAGAGAGATTTCCTATATGCACTTGCAATGCCCTTTCCTTTTTAGAGGGAACAACCCAGCTGAAAGCTGAAGCTTCTTTATTCATAGTCCTCTCTGAAAAAGAGTTAACAGTTTCATTCTCTCAACATAGAGGCCTTGGGAATTAATGTGTATGTTTGGTAACACAAGTTCTCTAAGCTACTCTTCTATGACATGTGACGTAACAAGGCAGGCAATTTTTTTCAAATGATATAATCCTACAGACTCAAATAGGAAAAAAAAAATGTGAGTTTGTATTTTAACATTAGCTTGTCACTGTTCAAAAAGTCAACGAGAGCTCATAAGGAGAATGTCTTCAGCTTTCCATACCCTGGTCCTTTCCTTCCAACCTCTGTCCCACATCCACATACTGAATTTACACCAACTTTAAGTTACATATCTTTTTCCCTGTAGGCCTATCAGCACAACAGCAATCAGAGAAAAGCCTCTATTATCTTCAGGGCTCTGCAAATCCTCATCCCTGGGAGAATGGCCTGGTAGCTCTCTTAACCACCACACTGCCATCTACATCTCTATACACAAAGGCAGCTCCTAGCACCCAGTTTAGTTTCCTAAGGGTTGCAACAAAAGACCCCATCAAGTTAAAGGCAGGAAAGACATGGCCAGGCGCGGTGGCTCACGCCTGTAATCCCAGCACTTTGGGAGGCCAAGGCGGGTGGATCACGAGGTCAAGAGATTGAGACCATCCTGGTCAACATGGTGAAACCCTGTCTCTACTAAAAAATACAAAAAATTAGCTGGGCATGGTGGCGCGTGCCTGTAATCCCAGCTACTCAGGAGGCTGGGGCAGGAGAATTGCCTGAACCCAGGAGGCGGAGGTTGCGGTGAGCCGAGATCGCACCACTGCACTCCAGCCTGGGTAACAAGACCGAAACTCCATCTCAAAAAAAAAAAAAAAGGCAGGAAAGACAAAGAAACATACTCTAAGAGGTCAATTTAGGAAACTTGCAAAACTTGGTATGTAGGAATAATAAAATGTTTTAATAGCTGAAAAGATCCCAGACGGTCAGGTATACAGTCACATGGGTCAAGCAGGACTCACTCTCCTAGGCTGGTTTTGAGTTCCTTTCCATAATTCTGTAAGGTGGGGAGAAATATCCAAACTATGAATTGAGCTTCTTACTAGTGTCCTGAAAAATATTTCCTTAAAAAAGTGCATAAACTTGTCTGAGGGAATTAAGACACCAGGAAGACGAAGTGTTGATGAGGCTGGAAAAAACTGTCCAAATAAAATTAAGACACAACAGATTCAAGAATGACTTCTGCAGGCTCAGGCTAATGGCCAGCATAGCAGGCCTCTCCTATGCCTTTGGTAGCAGTATCTTTTCTTAAAAACAGAGTAGGATAGAGTGTAAAGGAGGCCGGGGAATAGACTCCATGAAAGATGAGGTGGCAGATCAACCCTCGTGCTCTTTTACTGATAAATGGTGAGTCTGAGGTGGTGGTGAACAAGGGCTTATGAACAGGACAACAGTAACTAAATGACTCAAGTGACAACCGCCATCACAGCCCCACCTTCTGATTTACAACTTTCAACAATCATCAAAAGTTACTGTAAACTAAGTACTTTAAGTCAGTGTTTTCTCGAATGGGGTTCAGGACAAAGAGGCAAGGGCTCGGCAGGCCATTGGTTATCCCAGTTAATTGTAGGAGACCCCAGGGGTGGGGGAGCTGAGCCTCAAATTCCGGTTTGCACCACCTGCTCTTTCTGCTTGTCCCTTTTCCCATCTAGCTCAATAGATTCCACAAGAAGTTCTCCAGGTCTCACTGTCTCTGGTAAGCATACAGCAGGGTGAGAGGGGCATTTCCTAAATACTCAGTTTTTCTTGGTCAGCTTATTTTGTTTTAAACACCCAGAAAACTCCTGATGAAGGGAGGAAAATGCAATTTCGTTAACTCGAAAGAGCTATTTAAAAAAACAAAACAGGAAACTGCTCCAAACAAAAGTCAGCAGAAGAAAACAGAAATACTCAGAGGCTTGTAGAATAAGACTGAGCACATTAGTTACTCAGAGTCACAGTATCGAGAGACCACCACTCCCCTTCCCACTGTGCACCCCTTGCCCACCCCACCCCCGTCTTCAGCTCCTCCATTTTGTGCATTACTATCCCCAGATGTGGGGACAGACAAGTCCTCCTCAAAGATTTGTTGGCTCAGTACTTCACTCCTGGAATAAACTCCTTGGCGTCTGGGTTCAGGTTACTTTTGCTCTGAAATAACAACCAAGAGATAATAAATCCCAAGGCAAGCTGCACTTTAAAACTTCCCCAGTCCATCATTATCAGTACCTTCCCATTTAGGCTTCAGGGAGAGAAAGAAAGAAAATTCCTTGTAACTCATGCTGTTATTGCTAGGTTGTTCTCAACTGCTCCTTATATAGCCCTGAGCAAGCTCATCATCTTCTTCCTTCTTTAGACTCTTGTTTCCTTCCTGATGCTTTCCAAAATGTCATCAGAGGCCTGTAATTTCAACTCCAAGAAGAATTTTTCAATTCATTGAGTAACTTAACTTGTTGAAAACCAGGGTACTCCATCAGACCAGTCTGGATACTATAATCTCTATTTTTCTTCATCTTTCTTTATTCTCTTTGGTTCTCTACTCTCTTGTGAATATCCCAAACCTTAGCAAACCACAAGGAAGATTGTTCAGAATATGAGTTGTGTGAAAACTATATTACTCACAGACTTTTTTTTGAGACAGAGTCATGTTCTGTCACCCAGGATGAAGTATAGTGGTGCAATCTCGGCTCACTGCAACCTCTGCCTCCCAGGTTCAAGCAATCTCCTCCCTCAGCCTCCCAAGCTGGGACTACAGGCATGCACCACCATGCCTGGTTAATTTCTGTGTTTTTTTAGTAGAGGTGGGGTTTCACCATGTTGGCCAGGCTGGTCTCGAACTCCAGACTTCAGGTGATCCACCCTTTTTGGCCTCCCAAACTGTTGGGATTATAGGCATGAGTGACCATGCCCAGCCTGCTCACAGACTACTGATGTTACATAAATAGGAAAGGCAGGAAATTAATTTATCTGGTTTTATAAGTGAAGAAAATGACCTCAGAGGAGTACATTTCTTCCAAAATGAACAGCCAATTTTTATAACAGAATCATTTAAAAATATATTAAATACAGATTTGGGGGACAGTAAAAGAGAATAGCAGCAAATGATAATTTGAGAAGAAACTTCTTCAGTATTCAAATTGTTATTCTTAATCCCAATTCTACTTTGAAGAGCCCATTAGAAAATAAAAGTTGGTGGCATCCAATCCTGGCAAGAAAAAAAAAAAAGGTGGTGATGCTAGCAACAGTAATGTTTTATAGTGCTTTATGAGGAGCAATGCACCTTCAATGCACCCCTTATTAATAATGCCCATATTACGAGCAAAGAAACAGCAGCTCACAGGGCTCCAGAGACTTGCTGAGGGTTGCAGGGCCAGAAAGTAAGTCTGTCATTCCAAATCCTATATCCTTTTCACTATATAACATGGGAAACTACATATGGCTCTTACCAAAATGTCTTCAGAATCATGACCATCACTGACTGACAGTCCATTTAACTGCTGCTGCAACTGTCCCATGGCCTGAGGCAGGTCTCGTGATGGAATAAACCAGTCCTGGTCTTCTTCATCCAGCATCTCTTGGAAGCAGCGGTCCAAGAAGTCTTGCTCCTGCAGCTCCTCCTCCACCTAGCAAACAAAGGGGAGCAGCTCAGACTTACTGTCACAGCAGTACTTATCCTTCCAGTTTTTCCTCCACTTCTTTCCTTTAGAGGTTATTACACTGCAATTAAGATTGATCTTGTGCTGGATGCAGTGGCTCACAACTGTAGTCCCAGCAACTTGGAAGGGTGTGGCAGGAGGACTGCTTGAGGTCAGGAGTTTGAGACCCATCTGAGCAACATAGCATGACCTTGTCTCTACAAAAAAAAATTAAAAATTAGCCAGGCATGGTGATATGTGCTTGTAGTCTCAGCTACTTGTAAAGCTGAGGCTGGTGGATCACTTGAATCCAGGAGGTCAAGGCTTTAGTGAGCCAAGACTGTGCCACTGCACTCCAGCCTGGGCAACAGAATGAGACGCCGATTCCTTGAAAAAAAAAATTATGATCTTACATGAGATCTAATGGATCTAAGGACCCAATGCATCTAATGACAGGCTAGAGATAACATAACTTTATTTCTTCTCAAACAAATTCTAACAATAAGACTAAGAAAATAGTTATTCACAATAATAGAAATTCAAGATCTCCACAGATGTTCTAAAATCTCTAATAGGTGATACAGATATCACGGAAAATCATTTTAGAGCCTGAAATTCTTTTCTCAGTTTTGTCAAGAAGTAACCCTTCTTAAATTTTCCATTTTACAAGAAATATGAAAAAGATATAGCAAGTATATAACTAGGTCATGACCTGGCTAGTGGAGATAAAATCAAAACCAGTGCTCTAGCTTCTAGACACTTTTTGGGTAAGGAAATCCTCAAGGGAGAAAAATACTTTCAGAACATTAGGAAGTCATAAAGAACACTTTTTAGTCTACCACTAGAAAATTATATAATCAATGTAGTGTTTCAAAAGAAGATGAAATATATGAATATTCAAGCAACTCTGCATTTCTTAAAACATTGCCCTAAACTAAGGCAGTATGCATCTAGGATATCTTACACTTCTTTGCAGACATTGCTAACTCTTACTAAAGAGTATGGTTCACTCTGCAGATTTCAGTGTCTTTGATAGGCTTCTTGTTTCATGTTTGGCATCCTTTTCCTGCAGGCTGCCTGGTGACAGATTCACAGCTCACTAGCACCACCATCAGGAGTGAGGCCGAGCAAAAAATAATCACCCAAATTAGCATATAGTTACCTAATGAATTCAGAGGAAAAGTCACTGGTAGTGAGACTTAAAGAACAGTATTTCAACTATTTACCACTTACAATTAGCCACATGTAAAAACTAGACAGTTATGAAGTACTTAATATTTTCACGCCATAAGATGTAATATGACTACCTAAGAGCTGCCCTGACTCTACAAGAGCGTAACAGTATGTGCGCTCTTACTAAATTTACCCGTGTTCACTGGCACAACCAATGAAAATGGTTGCTGGGCATGGGTTTAATAGAAGCATGGGCTACGTGCAATTCACACAGATTCCAATATAGCCACATTAGATGGAAGCTGCTGGCTATCACCTTTAAACTGTTTCCTTCTCGGAGCACCAGGCTGTTCAGTTAAAATCACATTTGTCACCTCACATGCTGCATATGGCCAAGTGACTATTCATCACAGAATGTTCCCACAAGAGACGTGAACACTTTGGCATCCCTTGGTTAAAAGGAGACCCTTTGCCGTGGCCTTTGGCTCCCTCCCCCTTTCCCGGCTGCTGAACTTTCTGGTTTTCCCTCAGCCACTCAGCTGATAAATGCCTTGGGGTTGGGAGAGCAATACCATGGAAGGGACCAAGTGGGCACCAGATCACTTGTCTAACCAGAATGCTTACCTTGGGTTAACTTTACAGAGACATGAAACAATGCATTACTGCTGAATCTTTGTTCAAGTAGTCTAGCCAGCCCCTACCTAATGCACTTCTCTATTTCAGACTTGCATCCTGCCATCCCGAGTTCCTGTCTGAGGCATGCCATGCTGCCCTGTCTGCACACAGCTGCTGTTTCTCGATAACACATGGCATTAGACCAAAACAACTTTATGTTGCCAGGTGAGGCGCAGTGGGTCACGCCTGCAATCCCAGCACTTTGGGAGGCTGAGGCAGGCAGATCACTTGAGGCCAGAAGTTTAAGACCAGCCTGGCCAACATGGCGAAACCTCATCTCTACTAAAAATGCAAAAATCTGCTGAGTCTGGGTGGCAAATGCCTGTAGTCCCAGCTACTCAGGAGGCCAAGGCATAACAATGGTTTGAGTCCAGGCTGCAGAGGTTGCAGTGAGCTGAAACTGAGCCACTGCACTCCAGCCTGGGCAACAGAGTGAGACTCCCATCTCCAAACACAAACAAAACACAAAACAAAACAACCAGAATTATGTTGCCAAGCTAAGTATTACCTGTAAAACATTAGGGTTGGGGGAATTAGAGCAAACAGCTGTTTATCTGCTTAGCCCTTCTTAGGGCCTGGTATTTACTGCAATACTGGAAGCTGGCTGCCATGGATATTGTTGTCACTGCTTTCCTACATCTCCAGAAAAAAGTTACAATTAAAAAAAAAAATTAGTCTTCATAGAGACTGTCAAAAATTGCCAATGCTGACTATATTTCAAGTCATCATAGTGGGGTATTGGGAGAAGTTTTCAATTAGCAATAATCGTGCCTTAGATAAACCTCATTGGCTATGATGCTGCCACTGTGCAAAGCTGAAGTTATTATAATTTTTAAAGCTCCTGAATTGTCTTTCCTCAATCTCTTTGTGGGGGGTGTGTGCATGTGTGTGTGCACGTGTGTAAGTGCATGTGTGTATCTGCAAGCCCCTGGCTTTCCAGCACTTTTCCACGCACCCTGCCTCTGAGTTTGCTAAACTCATCCATGTAGGAGCGCAGAGCTGACCCACAGTTCAGACATCTGGCTTCTAATAGTCCTGGTGCAGAGATCACTGGAGTTAAAAGCATGTCGGTGAGTGTTAAGAAAGCTAGTGAAAATTGTTTTATGTTTTCAACAACATCTATTTCATTCAGAGGCTGGATAAAGGCAGAGTGAAACTGTTAGGTCAACAAAAAAGCCAAACACGACATTCTAAAATCCTATGGAAAACTTATTTACCTTTAGTGAGAGTTGTGAATCGTCCTTTTTTTTTTTTTTTTCCTGAGACAGAGCCCAGTGCAGTGGTATGATTGGCTCACTGCAACCTCTGCCTACCAGTTTAAGTGATTCCCATGCCTCAGCCTCCCAAGTAGCTGGGATTATAGGAAGGACACCATCATGCCCAGCCAATTTTTAGATTTTTAGTAGAGATGAGGTTTTACCATGTTGGCCAGGCGGGTCTCAAACTCCTGACTTGAAGTGATCTGCCCACCTTGGCCTCCCAAAGTGCTGGAATTACAGGCATGAGCCACCATGCCTGGCCTTAAACTTCTTTCATGTCTTCATTTATTTTCAAAATGAAATGCAGAGGATCACATTTCCTATAAGCAAGTGAAAGCAACAAACTACAAAGTATAGAAAAACAACCTCATTACCATTCTGTTTTTTAGTGCTCCACTGTTCAAGCAATTAGCTTCACATTGATCATTACAGAGAATTATAGAACCAGAGTGCTTCCTAGGATTAAAGCTACAATCAGGGTAGGATAAAGGACCTCAGCTCCCTTGGTTTGGTACAAGGGTTTTATGTCAATCCTCTAAACATTGAGAAGAGTCCTGTTTGATTTAAATTATGGGAATATTCTAGAATGGTCTATGGTTGCTGAGAGAAATAACATAAACAAATCTAGCCAGAATGAGGCTAAGGGCAGGGCCACTCTGCAGTAGCTACTGTGTAATGTGAACTGCACTTAGAAGGCATATCATAGTGTGGAGTATATGCAAATCTATTTGGTTATACACGGGCTCATCACGTGTGGATTTTCAGATATCAACTAATTAGTCTGATACTTGTGTTCTCTTTTAATCAACATGGTAAGAAAAATATAAATATCTTCCTCCAAGGTACTATCACTCTGGTCTCTTACCAGATGAAGATATTTCTTAGTCATTCCACATGAGCACCCCCTCCATGAATTTTTAAGTTATCCTAAAGCTAATTGTATCCATTTATTTTGTAACAAACTGGCAATAAAATATTATAGCCCTTGAGTTACATGTATCATCAATTTTCTACTTTTCCACTTCTTTCTTTACCTGCCTGTTGAAATCCTCTTCATTCTCCATCCACATGTACTCCGCAAATGGGTTTTCCTTTTCATCATGCCCATTTAACCCTTGGTCCTCTTTGGATTTTACACTGGGTGATGTATTTGCCACACTGGATCCATTCATTATGATAGAACCTAAAGAGGAGCAAAAGAAAAGATAAAATGAATGTAAAGATAAAGAAAATGTAGATCTAAAACATGCAGATTGTCGGAAGCTTCTGAAATTCTACGTCAAAGATTTTAACTACAAACAGAAACTGTTAGCCTGTAACTCTTATAAGACCATTAATATCCTGCAGTTATCAACTATACAGATGTGCAATTATTTAAGAGTTTAAAGAAAAGATGTCTATCAACACCTAGGTTCACTTAGTCTTTCTAGGCAAGTGGGACCAGGGTGGGAGGGGTGGGAATCTTCCCATGCCAAATTTCTGTAGGTACTGGAACCTAGTCAAGATCATTACCACTTTCTTAACATTTAAAAAGATAGAGAAAATGCATTCTTAACGAACATTGTAAGCACCTACATATTATTCTAATTCTCAAGCTGCTTTTCTTTAAAATGTATTAAAAAATACATGTTGATCAAATTGATAAGCAAAAAGGAAAAAAAAGCCATTCATTGTCCAGCCATCCAGAGTTAGGAACAATTAACGATGTGGTGCATATAACCTTCCTGAATTTCCGTATGTGTGTGCAGATACAAACATACACATTTCCCAAGTATCCATTCTCAAGAGTAATAGGATCATGTGATACAAGATGCCCTATCATTTGCTTTTTCTCAGTCCTATGTTATTTAATAATATAGCCATACCGTCTTTTTTTTTTTTTTGAGACGGAGTTTCGCTCTTGTTACCCAGGCTGGAGTGCAATGGCGCGATCTCGGCTCACCGCAACCTCCGCCTCCTGGGTTCAGGTAATTCTCCTGCCTCAGCCTCCTGAGCAGCTGGGATTACAGGCACGTGCCACCATGCCCAGCTAATTTTCTGTATTTTTAGTAGAGACGGGGTTTCACCATGTTGACCAGGATAGTCTCGATCTCTTGACCTCGTGATCCACCCGCCTCGGCCTCCCAAAGTGCTGGGATTACAGGCGTGAGCCACCGCGCCCGGCAGCCATACCGTCTTTTAGGGGTGTTTCCAATGTTTGTTTTATAAAGGTTCTATTTTGTAAAGGTCTTCTTTTCTAATGATTTCTTTAGGATATCTCCTAGAAATAGAAATGTTACACTAGAGAGTATGTTCCCTTTTTTAAGGCTCTTTGCATTGCCACACTGCCATAAGAATTTAAATTCCCACCAGTAGTGTGGAAGTGCCTGTTGCCCAACATTGATAAGTATTATCAGTTTTTAAACCACTGCCAATCTCATAAAGTAAAACTTGCATTTTTTTTACATTTCTTTAATTTTTACTGAGGCTGATTATTTTGAGATGTGTTTATTGGCCATTTATATTTCTATTCTGTAATTTTACTGCTAAAGTACTTTGCCCATTTTTCTACTGGGGTATATATCTTTTCCTTATCTTTTGTAAAAACATTTATTCTATTTGCTATAATTTTTATTCTTTATAAAATAATTTAAATGAAAGTTTATACCTAAAATAAATGTTATTCATTATATTTACTTAATTTTTAATGGTAATTTTTGCTGGCCTTAATTTTTTTCTAGCTCATGTATATGTTTCTGTCTACAGTTTTGTAAAATTGTATGTAAACAAAATTGTTTATTTTGGCTTCTAAACCCATTTTGATGTTTTTGCTATCATTTAGAAAAATTTTTTTCTGTTATTAATCTATATCTTAATAATTCCTCAAAAATCATTCCACTCTTTATTCACTACTTTGCTTCTACTTATTCACTGCTTCCCTTCTGTACTTAGTGCAGCATTAACACTACTTAATTGTTGTTTCATATGCATAATTTTTCTCCTTCCAATTAGATTCTCAATTCCTGACAAGTGAGACTGAGTTTTATAGATTTTGTAACTCACCACAATATTAAGAGTTCCACAAATACCTGAGGCTTAACTGTATTTAGGCAACTTTCCTTCTCTAACTCATCTCCCTTCAACCTTGACTCCATCTTTACCCTGAACCCCACCTTCCTTGGGGCCTCTTTAAGTTCTTTAACAAATTATTTCCCCAGGCCTGTTTCCATCTTGGCTACTCTCATGAGTCAGTTATTCTCTGCTTCTGGATAGGGTAAAATATTCTTTCTTGGTTCTCTTTAAAGGTTTTTTTTTCATTTTTATTTTTTGTTTTGGAATTTCCTAACCTGTTATGGACATTAGAAATGTAATATTCTAAAAAGACAAGGTAAAATTGTGAAGAGTAAAGAATAGATGGGAAAATAACTCACTGGTACATAGTTCTAAAATAATTCATTTAAAATAGAAACCATTTAAATCACTGCAGGTTTAAATAAGGCTACTAGTATGAAATATATCTATTTAACATATTTTAAATAGAAACAAAAGAAATCAATGTATATTCCAAACACAGATCTATAATAATTTCATAAGCTATAGAGGGGAAGAAAGCAGTTCTTTACTTTTACCACTTCCATCTGTAGCATAACAATGACAGAAGCAAGACTGTTCTAAATGCCAGGGCAACTGTATAAGTAGGTTGGGCATTCCTAAGCACAGACACTCTTAAAGGTCCTGAACCTTGCTGGGTAGCAAGATATACTGCACTATTATTTCCAGAGATTTATCTGGCAGTTGTTTGCAACCAGCACACTGATTTGTCACCATCAATATGGAAATCATCCACAGAGAATCAGAAATCAGAGTTTAGTTTTTAAAAATATCTTCCTTTGCCCAAAATATAAGTCCTGAGTGCACATGACTGTAAGGAAAAAGGGAAGGCAAAGGAAGAAAGAAAAAAAAAACCCTTCTAATTCAAGAGCAAGGTGGAACACAGACAGCAAATTATAGGATGTACTTGTTTATGAGAAAGGGAATGGAAAATTACCATAAACTCAATAAAAACTATTACTGAATTAATGCAAATATCTCAAAGAAGCTGAAAACACTGATATGGTATTGTCAATACTAGGCAAGTGATTCTCTTACAATAGATTTATACAGTGTTGATTTGCATTTTTATCTTATTCAACCTGTGTTTTCCACACAATTAGAAAGTTTGGTTTTTCTAAACAGCAGCATTCCAATAACTTAATTTTTATACTGTTTAAAAATTAAGAAAGTACTTCCATACCTATACTTTAAGGCACATAGTTCAAGAACAACATTGTTTTGTGGGCCTACTGGGTGTGAGTAAACTGGTGCTTAATGTGCCCTGACTTTAGTAGCACATTTAGTAGGTGGCAATAGGGAGATTTTGCTGGAGATTGTTAATTCCTAGGGAAGGCATTTGGATGTTTCCAACTTGGGGAAGACATAAGGGAAAACAGGATCATCGCCCTTAACTTCCCTGAAGTTCCTGCTCCCAGTTTCATGTAACATTCTTTCTGTTTCCAGCTCTTCCCCAGCTCACTTTCCATGCTTGAGCACTGTTTCTCTAGCCATTCCTTTTCACCATTTCACATTATTTCACTTGATCCTCATCCACATCAAGGATGAAAGTCTAGTGTAGTGAGGACAAAGAAAATATGCCCATAGCTTCCAGAGATGGGAGGAATGCTTGGTTACATAAATCAGGTTAAGAGGCTGAATGGCTGACATGTTGTGAGTTACACTACAGAGCGGCTCATTCAACAAGGAAATGAATCACTGTGGTAAGTGAGCTTAGAAAAATGCATTTTCCTCCCAGGCAAGCCTGCAGATGAGACAGCAGCCCCAGATTGACAGCTTGAATACAACTTTGTAAAAGTCTCAAACACAGGCAACCTGCTAAGCTACTCCTAGATTCCTGATGCACAGAAATTATGAAATAATAAATGTTTGTTGTTTTATTCTGCTAAGCTTTGGGGTAAGTTGTTACCTAGCAATAGCTTATATAGGTATTCAATAAACACTGGTAATTAACTCTGCCACACAAACCACTATCTGTCACAACATTTTTTTATATATCAAGAAGACAAATGTGCAATTTGAAATAGGTTACTGCTTGAGAAGCAGTTCTTTAAGAATTAGATCTTAGCCGGGCGCGGTGGCTCAAGCCTGTAATCCCAGCACTTTGGGAGGCCGAGGCGGGTGGATCACGAGGTCAAGAGATCGAGACCATCCTGGTCAACATGGTGAAACCCCGTCTCTACTAAAACTACAAAAAATTAGCTGGGCATGGTGGTGCGTGCCTGTAATCCCAGCTACTCAGGAGGCTGAGGCAGGAGAATTGCCTGAACCCAGGAGGCGGAGGTTGCGGTGAGGCGAGATCGCGCCATTGCACTCCAGCCTGGGTAACA